AAAAACATTAAAAAGGACTGAAGTGGATAAGCTGATAACCGAGATTCGTTTAAAATTCGATCTAAAAAGCTGATTTCTGGAATCGCTAAAATTAGTTCATTACTGGGAGATCTTCGCACCTCTGCAATTAGTTCTAAGCCTTGAATGGTACTTAGCGAAGAAAGGGTTTGTGAAAGCTGGCCGACGCTTGCTAATTTGCAAAGAAAGAACTGCACAGCAAATGATTTATTTAGAATTACAAGTAAATGTGAAGTATTACAAGTAAGTGAAGGCGTCTGACGGTCGACGAAAGTAGTTAATTCAAAGTAGTTCAAGTGAAATACAAAGAAGAACACATGTTAAGAACGTTCAACAGTCCCTATTTGCCCAATCATTTCCATTCTATAGTAGTATACAGTCCCATTCTATTATCTACCCTGGGTGCTTTAGGTTTTTTCCTGGCTTCTTTACTAATTCCTGACGAGAAGCCGCAACAGCGAGGAACAACGAGCCCAGAAAACACCGGAAGCTTTATCAAAACGTGAGCGCAGTTTATCTGATGATAGATATGTCGAGAGTAGACCTCTCAGCCAGGGTATCGTTTTTCCGGTTACGTGGTCCAGTTGCCAGCTGTTCGCCCTCAAATATTTTCTGAAACGCATTACAATCGGAAAAACAGCTAGCCATCGATAAGGCTAGTTCAATTTGTGTTCACGATATCTATTTGTTATTGATCGCATGATCGGCAACTCCTGCATCAAGTTTCATCTCCAGCCGTTCTTGCCTTCTGGGTGAAGATGCTTCTAGACGAGAGATTGTTGACGATGCTGCTCAATAGACCTTGTCACGGTTTTCGACGCCATCTTGACGAGTAGGCAAACGCGTGAGAAATTACAGTGATTGTATGAGAATCTAATGGCGAATAATTTCCGTAAAACGGCTGTTTTGAAAAAAATATGATTTGTAAACTAAAGCTTTACTCCTAAAGATTCTCTTGAAAAAATTTGAGGGCGTAACATGCACTAGAAGACCTAGAACCACTTTTTAAAACTTTCTATACATTTGTCTGTAAGAAAGTGCCGGAAAAATTACAGACAAATATATGGAAAATCTAAAGAAAGCCTCTGGAGAAATTTAAGCACAGTTACGCCCCCAAATTTTTTTGGACAATCCTTTGCTTTGCAGCTTTAGTTTACAATTGATATTTTGTTCAGAACAGCCGCTTTACGGAAATTATTCGACATTAGATTCTCATACAAACACTGTAATTTCTCACGCGTTTGCCTACTCGTCAAGATGGCGTCGAAAACCGTGACAAGGTCTATTGGGTAAGGTTTCAAAACTTAAACGCACTGCGAGTTTTGCGAAATTAACCTCTTTCATTAATAAATAGTAAAAAGAATTACTGGGTTTAAAATAAATCCCTAAGTTTAATATCAAGAGATTACGATAGCACCAATTTAATCAAAATGAATACAATCTAGGAATAAATTCGAGTTACACAAAGTCCGCACGTGTGTGGTTTGTGAGGGAGTACATATCTTAAAGATTAAATTGTGTTGTACCGTAGATTGCTTGAACCCGAAGCCCAATAGTCCTCGCTAGAGTCCTTGAGAATCAGGCTAATTGTAAAATTCTTCATGCGACTAGATGTACTTTAAAATGTAAAACTTTTCTTGGAGGGACAAAAAGAGACTTCTGAGCACTTTTTGTAATTGCAACCGGTTTGATATTAATTTGGATTCATTGATCTTGAACTTAACTCCATAGTTTGTCACTTTCAGTTATCAATATACATATTTTAAATTTGCTGATAACAGAACTGTTTACCAATAAACACCACAAAAAACGCATGCTGAAAAACTGATTACCATCTTAAACAAAATTTTTTTTCTCTTTCTCGGAGATACATTAATTTATTTTTTTTTACGGCAAATAATGGGGGAAAAAAGACTAAACCCATCAACAACGGCGACTCTTAAAAGAGGTTAACATTTGTAGGGGTCTATTTAAGGCTAATAGGCTCGAATACCAGCTGCTGATCGGGAAATGAGCCCTCGATGAAATCGTAAAACGTTGCAACATATATTTTTCGCACGCGTGGATTGTTTTTAAACAACAAAGAAAATCGAGATTAAAACAGGCAGCGACATCAACTTTTCACGGTCATTTTCCCCAAAGTGTTTTAATACAATATGTATTGGCATGTCTGTAAAATAGACTTCTAGTATTTTGTTGCCCAGCAGCTAGAGTTGCTCTCGGTTATGTTTGAGCAACACTTTTGCTTATATTTGGTATTTTATAACTCTCGCGTGCATCAACAACTCGATGACAGCTCCCTGTTCGTTTATACATACATACATAAGGGTTATATGATTTGATAATCAAGGTGATGCGTTTTACGCCTATTTCCCCAAAGTACCTACCTACTCTTTCGTTACAGGAAATCTGCTGAGATATATAGTAGGCAACGCGGGTGAGCCTTTCAAAGAAGCCAAGTCTTATTTTACCGCAATATAATCCGGAGTGATGAATGTACTTGGCTTTTTCTTCATTCCATTTACTTGGCTTCTGTCGGCAAATTGGTCACTTTCAATCCTTTAGTTGCAACGTCCACTAATTACTGACATCAAATATGATTCTTAACTGTATGGAAATTGGATATAGCTTCTTGCCTGCGAGGATGTTGTCTTTGGGAATGGCTTTTGTTTTATGAAGGAGTGAATAATCATTTTCGGATCTTAACAAACGACTATTATATCGCTGAAGATACGGCGATGACAACCGAGGCATAGAAACAATAAACACTTGGCTCTATTCTTAACTGGTCTGCTCAACCGATCATGACACCCAAAATGACGCCGGCTGTATGCACCATTTTGTGTGTAATGGAGTAAAATAAAAAATGCCGCTATCCTGAAAACAGGTACCCTCCCCTCTGCACTAAGAACTTCCTCACCAGAACCTTCTCGTTCTTCAAAAATGGACAATGAAAAGACCCTGGGGACGAGTTAACCGCCTAAACCCTAATGTCAAAATTGAGATTCTCATTTACTGGCCTATACTTCAATAGAAGTAGTGGGGAGAATTTGTTGAAATATCAATTAGACTCATCTTCCTTGATCATGCATTCAATTCTCATGTCCACTCTGTTTTACAAAGCATTGATATTACAAGGAGAAATTTGATGCTGACCACTCTTAGGGTTTAAAGGGTTAACTCAGGTGGGGAGTCGATTGACGTGGTGTGTAATTTAATGTAAACAGGCGACAAAACCTACACAACAGATTGAATGAACTTTTAACTTTTATTTCAAGATAGCCTATCTAAAACTTACAGCAACAGCAAAAAAACTTTTTTTCATTTAAAACTAAATTAGAAAATTGTTTTTCTTTAGAGGTGAGATCTTTTAAATTTATTGATGGCGATGATCTCGTAGCTTTTCCTGAAACAGAAAAACAAATTACTTAAATTTTCAGGCAATCATTCACAATTTCATTGCTATGTGGCCTGGATCGCAATCACCAGATTCGCCTCAATATAAATTCATTCAATTAAAAGCTCTTGATCAAATTGAGCTGTCAGCTAAAAATTCACGAAATAAAGCCTGTGAAAAGAACTGATTTAATCTTGATCTAGTTTGTGAATTGCAATTCCTATGTTTCCCTTCATTTCGTTTTTCTAAATCGAGGCCCATGTGACAAGCTGATAGTAGCCCGTGAACAGTGCCCTCCATGGGTTAAATATAGGCGGAGACAGCGAGAGAAACATTAAAAAGGAGTGGGTACTGGGAGATGCTGACCTTTACCCCAGTCTCTCGCTCCGTTCCTTCTGTCCGCCTGTTTGTCAATTTTTTCTATTTAGCCTTGTCCCCAGTTAAGCTGATGACCTCGCAGGACAAATGTATGACGTCAATAATGTTACGCTCGAATCTGCCATCAATCGATTTGAAAACAAATACCAGCGTTCTTTTTGCCCGCAAACAGTTAAATAACTATTACAGAAATTAACGAATAAGAAGAGAATAGAGATATGACTACTTATTAAGAAATTAAAAAGATTGATTACTAATAATTTGACCAAGGCGTTTCTTCTTTCATTTCCTTGGTTCGTTAAACATTTCGTTTAGTGCCAGTTCAAAAGTCTAACTCTCGGCAAAAGCGATACTGAGAATGGAACTGACGCAAATTTAAAACGGGTCAAGCCTGAAAGGACTTACCAATAGTCGACGGTTAATTTCTCGCTTTCTTCCAAATTCAACCGGTGGAATATACGAGGGTCTATCTTCATCTGCACTGAGTACGTTTTCCTTGAAAAAAAGTTATGATTTTTTTTAATAGTGTTGCACACTAACACAACAAGCCACTAAGTTTTTTGCCTCATTATCTTTACCCAGCGACAAGCTGTGTTACTGAACAAAGAAAATATACCAGATTGCTTTCAAAATGACATCCGTAACGGAGAAATGAGACATACAAAAGTAGCTCCTTATAACAAAAAG